ATTGGTAGTTTCTAAAGCTTATATTGGATTGCGTGATTGATAATTGGCTAGATTCTGTTGGTTTGAAGGCTTGTTCAAAAGGCAAGGCCGTGATTGATTGTTGATTTGGTTGCGGGAAGAGATGTTTAACTTTAACTTGAGGGAATTAAGACTTGTTTGGTCTATTTATTAGGTGAACTATGTGTGGGGACGGCATATATGCGAGGTAACGAGTGTATATGCATTGTCATGGGTAAAGCATGCGGGTGGGACTATTTACCTTTATGTCGTTATTTATTCCATGTTATATCTCGTTACATACTTTGATTGCTACATGTACTTACTTGTTATTCATGCCTTATTTGCTATTTATTTTTTAATTATTACTTGTTTCGATTTATTCATTTCTCTCTCAATATCTGCTTTCCCGCTATATGTTCCTACATGTATTAATTGTATATCTTCATTGTCTCATGTCTTTAATTTCCTTTATTATTTTTACATTACTTGTTGCACCTATTTATGTTATAATCCGATTGTGTGAGTCCTTTATCTATTCTTGTATTATTGAATTGTCGAGGGTTATGAATATGAGGTATTGGTTATTCTCTATTTGTACTGGTAGATCCTTGACGTTCTATACTCTTTAGTTCCTTCTTGTGTTGAGATTACGTAATTTGGTTGTGAGTTGTTCATGTTAATAAGTTGATATTAGGAACGGGTTGCACACCGCAACAATATTGAAATGAATTGATAATAGGAACAGGTTGCACGCTGCAATAGAGATTGATATGATATTAGGATCGGGTTGCACGCCGCAACAGATATTGAAATGATATAAGGATCGGGTTGTACGCCGCAACGGGATATGGTGTGTTGTATCTATTTGTAGCTGTGGTGTTCTATTTTCGTACTTTGATGTAAGGTTATGAGACGTTGTTATTCTGGGCCCCTCTATTAGTTGACCTTCAGGTCCCGCTTTTATGAGTTATTTGCTTTTCTCTATACTTTTGTTGTCTTTTATTATTATTCGTACAGGTTTATAGTGAGTGTCTTGTCATAGACTCGTCACGACTTCGTCGAGGTTAGGCTCGACACTTACAGTGTACATGGGGTCGGTTGTACTCATACTACACTTCTACACTTCTTGTGCAGATCCCGGTGTTGGTCCTAGCAGCGCATAGCGAAGATATATATCTCGGGTCCGATTTATTCAGGGGACTTGAGGTAGAGGTGCACGACGTTCGCAGTCCCTAAAGTCCCCTTCTATCTTATTTTACTGTTTATCTTGTTTGTGACAATTGTATTTCATTTCAGACCATATTTGTATTATTCTAGTCGCTCATGTACTTGTGACTTCGGATTTCTGGGATTAGTATAGTCTGTGTTACTTATGTGTTTGTTTCATGTGTTTAAGAGTTTATCAGTTATATTAATATTCTGCTTTTAAACTGTTAAAATTTGGTTAATTCTTTAGCTAATGTTGATTTGGCTAGCAAGTGGATGTTAGGCGCCATCACGGCTCCGTGGTTGAGATTTCGGGTCATGACATTCTCAACACGCCACTTGGCTTAACCTCATCCTTCACTACCTTCCTTTTAATATAATATAGATATTTTAGTCAATAACAAAAAAATCTAATTGTATAGCCGGGGGGTCATATGTAACCCCAACTATGTATTAATGGAAAGTAAATTTTGGTTGAAGGTTCACTACGAAGAAACCAAGATAGAGCTCGAAATGGATAGTCTACTTGTGAAGAATGCATTGGAGAAGGACGAAGATATTTACTCGTATTTATCTGAAGTGATTTCTGATTGTAAAAACCTCTTAAAAGGTTTTCAGTTTTTGTCTTTGTCTGTTGTTCCAAGGTGTGCGAATCAGGTTGCTCATGCATTAGCACGAGTGGCTGATTCTATGTCAGGCTCGATGGAGTGGAATGCTAGCCATCTATCCCTTATGGTAGATACTTTACAGTTTGATTTGAATAGTTAAGATGATGGTTGTTTCAATTAAAAAAAAAAAAAAAAAAAAAAAAAGCGCAAACGTCATGGCTTAGTCCTCAGTATGGCTGTCCAACGGGATGGGCCATCCCGGCCCGACCTACTTAATTTTAAATGGGATGGGCTCATAATTAACGGTACACGGGATAGGACGGTCCTACCGTTTCGTCCCGTTTATCCCGCTTGTTTTTTTAATTTTTTTTTTTGAAATATAGTCGTTGGGCAACGGCCACAACTGCAAATATAGCCGTTTCCAACGGCCAAAAACGACCATATAATTTTTGCTTATCATGTTTACTTTACGTGTTCTATTTTCGTATTTCATTTGTGTGTAATTTTTGTGTTAACTTTTTAAATTTAATTTCGTATTTAAATTATGGCACCTAAAAATATATTTGGCGTATTTAAAAAAAGTAGTAAAAAAAGTATTAAAGGTGAAAGTAATAGTAATCCTAGTCCTAATCCTAATCCTTTTTCTAGAATTAGAAAACATATAGATGAAATGACTCATGTTGATGAAACTTCATTTTTCCAACCCCTCCTCCCCCACCCCCCACCCCCGCATGAAATTACACTCTTACTTAATTACTTAATGGCTTGAAATTATATTAAATAAATTATAACTCTATTATAATTACTAGAATATTTCATTACAAGTATTTTATTTTAATATTTTATAATTCTTTACTTGATTTCCTAATTTTCGTTTTAACTTTTAAGTTTATTAAATAAGTCAAAAAAGTAGCAGTTGCAAACTTTAAAAACTTAGTTATTGTCAAAAAAACTAGCCGTTGCCAAACTTAATGTTTAAATAATTATTATTTTAAAAAAAACAGCCCACTTAAGGCCCGCAAAACCGTCTCGTCCCGTCCCGCTATAGTCCCGGCTAAATGTCATCCTATCCCGACTAAATATCGGCTCGTCCCGTCCCGTTCGACAGCCATAATCCTCAGTTTACTTTTTGGTTTATGAAAGTTTGCACGGTTATCCTCTTTTTTCCTATTTGTTCCTCCTTCTAACGGTTGTCTTACTTGGCCACGGTGGAGTCACGTGAACTATCAAACTTTATCCCAAAACTATTAAAATGATTTATCTATACTTTTTGCAATAATTTAAAATATGCTGTTGTACGAGTAAAAAGGTCCAAATATACTTTTGATTAAATGAAAGTGTCCAGATATATTCCTAGGTGGCTTCCACCTTATCAGCCAAATTCGAGACGAAAAGTAATTGTTAAGGCTTTCATGAACTAAAAGCTAAATGGAGGATAAATATTAAAAAAATTGCATACGTTAGAATATACTTGGACCTTCTCCCGAAAAGCTTCTTAAAACTTGTCAAGCTAAACTACAAATTCTATCGTAACTTCTTTATACTTTAACAGCAAGCTTAAAATTGCTACTGCTCTTCTGGCCTTCCTACAAGTGTTCTTGTAACTAATACATCATTTTAGTTACCATGGCGGCTTAATCCATACTAAGGCCTAAAGCCAAGCTTTACTAAAAGGCCTTAAGCCATTAAATCTAATTAACAAAATATATATATATATATATTCTTTTATTTGAAGTTATTCTTCTAACTTTTCGATATACAAAGTTATTACTGTTTTTAATCACTTTTTTCTAACATTTCTTCTCAATATATATTCATTCCATGTAANATATATTATATAATTTTATTAATAAGAGTATTTTTTTTGGATCTAGTGAAAGTTGTTCAAATAAGTGAGGAATTACAATAGTTTTAATCTTATACTCCATCTGTTTTGATTGATGTGAACTCATTTGACCGGGCACGAAGTTTAAGAAAAGATAGAAGACTTTTGAACTTGTGGTGTAAAATGAGACACATATAAGTTGTTTGATCACAAATCATTGCATAATGATAAATTATTTCCAAATAAAAAAAAATATCATTTTTTTTTTGCACGGACTAAAAATGAAATAGTTCGAGCGTTAATTAGTGCATTCGCAATCACCTCGTTTTGTTTTTCTCCTTCACGTATATCTGTTCTTTTTTCTGTTTATAATGAGTTGACTTTTCTATTTCTATTTCAATTCAATTTTTGTGAATCAACTGTTTCTCTTATCATGTTTGATTTATTCATAAATCAGAGCTTCCTTTACCGCCAACGCCTCTGCCATCATTGGACTGAATGTTTCCCTTATATATGTCAATCTACCTCTCAAGAACTCACCGTGCCTATCCCGAACAACCATCCCTGCTCCAGCTTCACCAGTTGCAAGGTCGAAGGATGCATCAATATTGCACTTGAGTGCCAAATCATCTGGGGGTTTCCACTTTCGATTCTCCTCGTTATCCTGCCAATGTGAACCATATGGTGTGCGTAATTGGCGCCATTCATTGATGAAACTAATAGCGTTATCCAGTATGCGATCCACTGTACTCGTTCTTTGGTTCCAGATTACACCATTTCTATAGTTCCAAATCTCCCAGTATATCATGATTGCTTCTTCAATCTCATTCTTGTTCAATGTATGATTAAGCTTGTTAAACCACTGCTCCATATTCAATATTGTTTCTGTCCATCCCACGTGAGATTGCAGCCAGCACGCCTTTGCCATGGTGCAATTAAGGAGGCAGTGCTCGATGTTTTCAGGGTGCTGCCAGCACAATAGACAAGTTGCATTATTCATCACATGTCGTCTGGTCAAGTTCTCACATGTTGGGAGCACGTTGTTCATCGTTCTCCACATAAAGTTTTTTTTAACCTTTGGTGGGGTTCGCAGCTGCCACAATGATTGCCAAAGTCATCGGCGACTTGCCTCAATTTCATGTCCGGCTTGATCATAAAGTCTCGTGTGACCTCCACGGACTGTATACATGCCCTTTGGATCGAACAACCACATCCATTTATTCGGCTGTGAATTCGAGCTTAGTGGTATTTTTTGTATTAGTTCAATCTCCTGTGCATTAAACATTGTCTCAAGCTTCACTTCGCTCCATGTTCGAGTCTCCTTACATATTAACTCCGACACGACCATCTCTTCCATCCCATTATGGCACACTTTGAATAACTTGCAGATGCTCGGATGGTAGCCATGGAGTGTGGAATATTTTTGTTGTATCTCCATCTCCTATTCGCCTCATACAGCCCCCTTGTAAGACCTGTAACCCCGCGCATAATGAGCGCCAAACATAACTTGGGTTATTTCCCACTGTTGCTGTAAGCAAATCTCCTGTAAGGAAGTATCGAGCTTGATATATTCGGCTCACTAGCGCCTCCGGTCGTATCAACAAACTCCATGTCGTTTTTGCTAGCATAGCCAAATTAAAATTCTGCACCTCTCGAACTGCCAATCCCCCGTCTTCTTTATGTCTACATAGCCCTTTCCACACCATCCATCTCATTCCTCCAGTGTCACCACCTTTTCCCCGCCACCAAAACTCATTCATTGCTTTCTCGATTAAGTCACATGTGCTTGTTGGGAGAAGAAATAGCATCATAACATAATTTGGGATGGCTTGCACCACTGTTTTCAGTAGGATCTCCTTATCAGCTCTAGAGAGGTATTTTTGCTTCCAACTTTGCAATTTTTCCTAGACTTTATCTAGTACATATTGGAAGATGTCCTCCTTTTTTCTACCCGCAATGGATGGTAATCCGAGATATTTGCCCGGGGTAGCAATCTCTTTCACTCCAAGCGCATCTTTTACCGCAGTCTTCATATATTCCGATGTATTCCGAAGTATAAATCGGATTTTTGCAAATTGACATGTTGTCCAGAAGCCTTCTGTTAGCTATCAAGGTAGTGTTTAATGATATTTGCCTCGCCAATCTCTGCCCGAAAAAAGTACAAGGTGCCGTCTGCAAAAAAGAGGTGTGAAACAGATGGTGCCCGAGGAGTCACCTTGATACCATGAAGTAAACCTCGTCGATCATAAGTTCTAAGCATCGCAGAGAACCCCTCCGCTACTACAAGGAATAGATATGGAAACAATGGGTCACCTTGCCGTAAACCTCTACTTGGTATGAATTGTCCAAATATTGTACCTCCATGAGAGAATTGATATCTAACAGTAGTAACCATAGCCATTAGCTTCAGGACCCATTCTTCGCAAAAACCCAATTTCAATAGCATCTGCCTTAAAAATTCCCATTCAACTCTATCATACGCTATGCTCATATCAGTTTTTAAAGCCACGTAGCCTTTTTTTCCCTCTGTGTTTTGTGTTTCAAGTAGTGCATTGTTTCAAAAGAAATCATCGCATTGTCCGAAATAAATCTTCCTGGGATAAAGGCACTTTGGACCTCCGTAATCACTACATTCATAAACTTTCTCATTCGATTGGCCATGGTTTTGTACGCGATCCTGTCAATCACATTACATAAGGATATAGGGCGCAAATCTGTGATGTTTTCAGGAATCTTCTTCTTTGGAATTAAGATAATATTAGTGAGATTTCCTCCCGGAGCTAGCATATTGTGGTTAAGAGTTGCTAGAACTGCGTCACTAATATCTTAGCCCACGATAGACCAAAACGAGCGATAGAACCCCGGATTCAATCCATCCGGTCCCGGTGCCTTATCAGGGTGCATATCGAAGGTTGCTGCCTTAACTTCCTCCCTAGTAAATGGCCTTTTAAGCTCGATATTATGTTCTTCCTTAACTCCACTTTCAACCATCTCCAGAATCTCGTGCATACTCCCTTGATTGGACGAAAACAGATTCGTATAGAAGGTGACAATCAGATCTTTAGGTTCGTTATTCCATCCAACCCACTGTCCATCATTATCCTTCAGGTGCACCGGTGAGTTTTTCCTTCTCCTTGCACTACTAGAAAGTAGCGTGTATTAAGATCACCATCGCGTAACCAGTATTGCTTTGCACGTTGGCGCCAATATATATCTTGCTTCTTAGAAATTTGTAACGGCCCGACTTGTCGTTTTAATAATTTATGCCTCATTCAGCTACTTAAGATCTCGAGCAGCTTCGTAATGCGTATTATGACTTTTGTGTGTAGTCGAGTTTGGTTTTCGGACGATTCGGGATCAAATTGGAAGAACAATTCTTATTTAAGAAGTTTAAAAGAAAAGAGTTGACCGGATAGTTGACTTTTGAGCAAAAGACTCCAAAATGAAATTTTGATGTCCCAATAGCTCCGTATGTGATTTTGGACTTAGGAGTGTGTATGGGTATTTATTTTGAAGTCCGTAGTTGAATTTGACTTGAAATAGCAAAAATAAGAAATTGAAGGTTTGGAAGTTTGACCGGGGAGTTGACTTTTTGATATCGGGGTCGGAATCCGATTTTGAAAATTGGAATATGTTAGTTATGTCATTTATGACTTGTGTGCAAAATTTGAGGTCAATCGACTTGATTTGATAGGTTTCAGCATCGAATGTAGAAGTTGAAATTTCTTAGTTTCATTAAGTTTGAATTGAGGTGCAATTCGTCGTTTCGATGTTGTTATATATGATTTGAGGTCTCGAGTTGGTCCGTAATATGTTTTGCGACTTGTTGTCATCTTCGGACGGGGTCCCAATGGGCTCTGGTGAGTTTCGGGGTGGTTTCGGACTATTTCTAGGCCATTTTTAGTTGATGGTTTTTTGCCACGGAGGTATGCATCGCGATCACGGACAAACGATCGCGATCGCGAAGAGCAATTTTGTTGTTTGGATACTGTGAATCGCGATCGTGGAAGCCTTTTCGCGATCGCGTAGAGGAAGTTTCTACTTCCCTAACCTGACTTTGGAAGATTATGTCTCGCAATCTATAAAGAATTTGGAGATGATCCAAAAATAAAAGTTGTAGCCCTTTGTATCTAGTTTTCATAAAATGAAACTGTTTTGCATTTGGAGTTGTGTACAAAAGGTTATGATGGATATACTACAGACTATCTGGGAAGAGTTTGAAAATCGCGAAGAAGAAATTGATGCTGCACATGGCTAATTTTGGAAGCTTATATCTAGAAATCTATAAGGAACTAAGAGATGAGAAAAACATAAAAGTTGTAGTTCTTGATATCTAATTTTTAAAAAGTCAAACCATTTATTATTTGGAGTTTTGTACAAAAGGTTATGACCATTATACTAGAGGCTATCTCGAAGAGTTGGGGAGTTTGTGCTTCGCGATCGCGATTGGTTTTCCACGGTCGCAAAGAGCAAATTTTGAGCTGGAAAATTTTGTGCTTCGTGGTCGCGAAGTATTTTCCGCTATCGCGAAGAGTAAATGTCTGGACAGAAGATATATTTCGAGGTTTCGGCCATTTTAACATATTTGGAGCAATGAAACTCAGATTGAAGCGATTCTTTAGGAGATTTTCGGGAGATTTTCAAGGGAAACATCGGGGTAATTGTTTTTAACTTAATATTGGTAAAATTACCCGAATTCATGGTTGTTTTAACATTTAATTGGTGATTTAAGTTGGAAAATTATAAAAATTCTCTTGGTTTAATTTGAAGATTTGAGGGTCGAGTTGAGGTCGGAATTTGGTAAAATTTGTATGGTTGGACTCGTGGTTGAATGGTCGTTCATATTTTGTAACTTTTGTCGGGTTCCGAGATGTGGACTCCACAGGCAATTTTTGAATTAAATTTCGGGTTTTTGTTGTAAAATTAGTATTTTCATATAGAATTAATTTCAATAATTTGTATTGACTGAATCGAATTAATTGTGACTATATACAAGGATTTCGGAGGCCAATTCACGAGGCAAAGGCACAGTGGATTAAAAACTTTCACGGTTTGAGGTAAGTATCTTGCCTAACCTTGAGCGGGGTAAATACCTCTTAGGCATTGAGTCTTATGTGAAAACTGTATAATTGAAAACCATGTACGCAAGGTGACGAGTACGTACTTGGTTTTTATGTGCAAACTATATCGGTTGAAATTCGTAAACGCCCTTATGTAATTGGAAATTGTTGGAACATAGTAAATCCTTTATTTGTCATGCCTCATTCCTTGTTTGTCGAGTTTGTATTTTATATGATAATTTAGGGTGATTGCCACTTGGATTTTATGTGAATTCTGCGTGTTTGTTGATTTGATATTTCTTGGAATTTATTTTATTATGGATTTTTCATCTGCAAATAATTAATTAAATAAGCTTAAAAAGAGGCGTTAATATATTTATCAAAATTTGGATTAAAGAAGGTGTTGTCCTATGCTGAGTTACTTTTCCATATCTGTTGTTGTTTTTGAGGCTTTATACGTTGTGTGGAGCCCTAGGCTGTTTGCTTTGAAATTAATTAATTTTGTTGTATCTTTGGAGTTGGTTGTGGCAGGTGGGCAAATTGGGATATGAATTGTTGTATTGTGTTGTCGTTTAAACACTCTCCTTGATGTTATTTATGCTTCCTACCTTGCTTGTTAATGATATACATGTTCTTGGTAAGAAAGAGTGTAAAGCACGAAGGGTGATGTCGTGCCATTTGAGAGTGTAAAGTACGATGGGTGATGTCGTACCATTTGAGAGTGTAAAGCACGAAGGGTGATGTCGTGCCATTTGAGAGTGTAAAGCACGAAGGGTGATGTCGTGCCATTATTTTTATATTATCATATGTTCATGGCACGAAGGGTATTTCCGTGCAGGCGAGGACAAGAGACATACATTATATTGTGATATCTTTTTCGTTGTGTATATATTCATGCCTTTATCTTGAGTTGTTATTGTGCATCTATATTTTTTATGTGACTTGTAATCGTTGTTGCTTCATGTGTGCTTCCCACTTTATTTATTGTATTGTTATTAGCATTTATCCCACCTAATTGGNTTGAAAGATATTTACTTGAAAGAATTATATTCGTAAGATATTTATTTGAAGGAAGTATATTCGGAGTATATTTAATTATACGGATTGCATTTTAAAGATTTTTAATTGAACAACTTATAGATAAAAGATGTATACTTCGAAGGACTTGATTAATTGGTTGTACTTATGTTTATTATTCGTTTGAGCAATATTTATGGTGTTCTTGTTGTCTTGCTGTTTATGTCACAAGTTGATGTTTATGTCACAAGTTGATTATTGTTTCCATCACTCCTATTTGTTTTTTTATTTTTTTTTGTATGCTATATTGCACAAGTTATTTGACTAGTGAGTGTCTTGACTATACCTCGTCACTACTCCACCGAGGTTAGTCTTGATACTTACTGGTTATCGACTGTGGTGTACTCATACTACACTTCTGCATGTTTTTGTGCAGAGCCAGGTATTAGAGATATCGGACTCGGGCAGAGTTAGGGTGTTGATCGCAAGGACTCAAGGTAGAGCTGCTTGGTCATCGCAATCCCTTGGAGTCTTTCCGTTATATTGTACTGTCAACTCTTATTCGAACAGTATTGTATATTCGATCCTTGAGAGCATTCCATGTGTTCAGTTAGAGTTCGTGACTTAGTATTACCAGTCTTAGGAGGTTGTTATAATTATTTTCGTTGTTGGTTTCGACATTTGTATTAAATTATATACTTTAAAAAAATGGCTCGAAATATTATTGTAATCGGCTTATCTAATCTTAGAAATTAAGTGTTATCATGACGCCTGCGATAGATTTTGGATCGCGACAAAATCTGAACGTAAGCATCTTTAGTCGCGCTATACAGTTGCACATGCTCCGGGTTATTGCTATCTCTGAACTTATACATCTAATTCTTACATTGTTTGCTTTCTAATAACTGTTTTATTCTTAATTTTTGTTTTAAATTTTTTTAACATATTAAGGGGTATTTTTTAAGGACAGTAACTCAGAATGTTTAAATAAAAAATATCTTTGAAAATAATAATCAAATCAATTTTTATCTGACTTTCAAAAAGTAAGTTTATTCAACACGGGGCATTAGTTTTAGTATTCAATACAAATAGTATTGACTAATATAGTGGCTAGTGGCTATTATTATGGAATATCCGTAGTTAATTAATTAACACACTATAATACACAAATAACAGAAAGAAAACAACTACACAAAAATTAACAAGGTATGACCAAACCTAAAGGCAATAACAAATACTAGAATTTTTCATTATGAAAGGGAATGAACAGTCAAATACACTCTTGGAACATCCTTCGGATCCTTAAGTACAACTTTCTTCAAATATCCCAAGTGCGACAAGTCAAGATGAAAATGGTCGTGACTTTGATATGACATGTAACGATGTCACTTTTCAATCGAGCCATTTTTGAATT